AACTTAAATTACTATCAAAAAAGTATCAACTGATATTCTCCAGTCTGTTTACTCTGAAAAAAAAAAGCTATTTGGATGAGAGATGATGGATGAAAACCTGCTTATCTCCATCTGCCTTTCTGTGGCCCGGTCTTGGAGGCAACAGACCCAGGAGAGGCATCCCTCTCTCCAGTGACACTCTCCAGCTCCTCCAGGAGGATCGCAAAACATTCCCAGAGAGAATTCATGATCCCTTCCGTGAATTCTGGTTCTGCAACGGGGTCTCATTACAGTGACACAACCTCTAAAGGGCCTGAAACCACCTCAACTGACTTCTGTGGATGTGAAAGAACAACAGTTTTACTCCAAACTCCTCCTAAATTAAAGATCCTCACCTTAGCTCTATGGYCACCCTATGAAGGAAGCTAATTTCAGCCTCTTCTAAAGGAGATCTTGTTGTTTTGGTCATGATCYACCTCATGACCACAGGTAAAGATGGAATGTTGATAAACCAGTAAGCTTGAGAGCTTTGTCTTTTGACTCAACTCTTTCTTCAACACAACAAACCAAAGTAACGTCCTCATTATTGAGGATGAAGCCCAATCCATTGAACCATCTCCCACTTCATCCTACCATCACTTRAAAACAAGACATCTTGAACTCCTCTACCTGAGGGAAAGAAATCCTGGAGAACCCATTTCCAGTGTTGGTGTCACCATGACCTGGGAAAATAAAAACTCACAGTATACAGAGAAGAAACATAGTTTCTCTTGATGGTACCAGTTGGCCGTCTGGGCACACTATTTTAAATAAATGAAACTTTTCAAGAAAAGATGTATAAAACAGTATCGTGGATCATTTTTTCTGTTTGTTGATTTTGATTTGATTTTTTGATTTAACAGGAAAAGATTACTAAAAATCAAGCCTGACTCAGCATAATTGCTGTTTTACAGCAGGTTCCTGTTCTGCAGCACATAAAACACTCAGAAATACAGCATCACAATCACATCATTATACACCATAGACACAAAGACAAACAAGCATACCAAATTTCAAAAAGGCAGCATTTGTAAAATAGGACGTCTAAATATGAGCACAACAAAAAGTGTCCAGCAGATGGCAGACAAGATTCTTCTTAAAGGGCTGTAGTTTTGAAATGGACTTTATGTTTTGAGGAATGTCATTCCATGCTTTAGTATAAACATAGAAGAAAGACCTCTGGCCATAACAGTTTTTAAAAGTTGGTAATATCAGTTGTCCTTTTGTAACAGATCTAGTTGAATGACCACTTCCAGAATTTGATTTGGGCAGCAATGCACAGAGAGTTCCATAATTGACACCTTGGAAGATCTGAAAATATAAATTAATACCACTATACAAAACATAATTCTGAAAAGTCAAGGCATCAGACAATGAAAGAACTGTACAGTGATGAGTCCAACCAGGAAGTTTTTTTTATGAATTTTGTAGGCCCTGATTTATATAACATAGTAAGCCTAACTATGGGTTCTAAGATTTCATTTGTTGTAAGAGACMAAACAGGTAAACAGTACGACATGGTTGAGAGAATAATGGCATGAAGATAGATATTTGAAACAGAAGATGTCAGATTGGATCTAATTTTTGAATAAACGTATGATTTCTGTTTCAACTTAGTGGTTAAGACTTGTACAGGATCACAATAAGTCAAATGAGAATCCAAAGTAATTCCAAGATATTTGTAGGTAGTGACAATATCAAGGGGTTTGTTTAAAAAAGTGAGTTGATTTGTTATATTGAAATGTCTCCTGGGTGAGGAAAAATACATGCACACAGTTTTTTAAACATTAATTGACAAAAGATTGTCTTGAAGCCAACCATGAAATGTCTGAAGATCTGCTTGTAACTGACTATTAATAGATTCAATATTGAAATCAGACAAAAAAGAACAGTATCATCAGCTTACATTAAAATATTTGAATACTTCAATATTTTTGGAAGGTCATTTATGTATAATAGGAAAAGCAATGGGCCCAGTATGCTACCCTGCGGAACTCCCACGGAACAGGGCAGAGACCCGGACACAGAGCTTCCATGTTTCACAACCTGACACCTATCAGTCAAATAAGAGGAAAACATTTGAATTGCAGATGATGAAAGTTGAAAAGAAATCAACTTTGTAAGAGAGTATAATGATCAACTGTGTCAAACGCTTTAGGAAAATCAATTTATACAGCACCAGTTACTTGACCTTTGTTCAAAGCAGCACGTATTTGTTCAGTGAATAAAATTAATGCAGACATGGTTGACCTTGACGTGCAAAAACCATGTTGGCTATTGCTTAGCATATTAGCTTCTAGATTAGTGGAGCCCAAAGAGGGGGCCCACGGGCCAAATTTGGCCCGCCAAGCCATTTKATTTGGCCCACCAACAGTTGTCAAAGTTACAAGGTTGTAACCTGTTATCCTATGTAGAAACAGTGTTTCCATTGGTCAAATGACTACATAAAAGGGCTGTAGTGAAGGCAGTTTTCAGACATGGTGCTGACATATCTTTGATTTATTAGGATTAAACATGAAACATGAAACGACAACAAGAAATGTTTAGATCAGATTTAACCCAGCATGTAGATTTACACACTTTATAAGGCCACAAAAACTAATATTTTATCAATTTATGAAATGTCCCATGAGCCTTTGCTACTTGAGCGTATGGCAGACATTCTCCAAGTGCACAGACTAAAACAAAAGAGGGCCATTGCATAGCTTAATCGTTAAAAATAAAGGACTTTACTTTAAAAAGTATTTGTACTTCATGTATTATATAACTGCATTTGGCCCGCAGCCATGGATAGATTTTCATTTTGGCCCCCTCGGGGAAAATGTTTGGGCACCCCTGTTCTAGATGCTGAAGCAGTTGATTAAATAATGTTTTTTCAAGTAACTTAGAAAAAATAGGAAGAACAGAAATTGGCCGATAGTTTGAAACTTCTGTTGGATCACCAGATTTAAAAATGGGAGTAATCTGTTATATGAATCAATTTATTTCTGGACTGATATACCTAGAGTCACATAGGGACTCGTAGATATTTTCAGAATCACAGTCAAGGGCCCATCTCGTGTCTTCAGTGACCTCTCCTCACAGAAAACCATGTGTTTGTCACACACACTGAAAAACAAGCTTTACACAACAGGAGTGTGAAATCACCATGTTCCAAGACAGAGAGTGGTGACGGAGCCTTGAGGCTCCCAGTGGGGCTAAAATGTCCCAACATTCAAACAAGATCAGATGCAGAAGCAATGACCCCAGAATTCATGAGGTTCAGAGAAGCATTATTTGTTCCCTCTGCTGCGACCAACAAAAAACTGATCTGAAACTCAATGTGTTTCTTATTTGTGACCCATCATATCGAAATGAGGATTAAGTCAAATTTGGTCAAAATGACCTAATTACATTTTCAGATTATTGGCTTTAAAAGCTACATTTTGACACCTGGATCATTCTGATATCATAATTAAATCCATATACAGTATATGCCTTAATTTGTCTTGTTGGTTACAGTAACACATAAATATTTGGTCTGAATCCTAATTTTATGTCATTTTATTGAGGAATTTTTGATGTCCTTATAAAGAGGAAAAAGAAACACAGCTTTGCTAACTCACAGGGAAAATCTCAAAATTTTAAGGTGTTTTCTCTCAAAATCAGTTTTTTTGTTGCTACTGCTCAAAAGTGCTTCAAAATTTGGTTTTATGATTAAATTTCAGACAGTTCATTCAAATGATAAATTTATTCATTTTATTTTGACAAAATGCAACTTTTGTTAACATTTTAGTCAAAACACTATTTGCCTATTTCTCCATATACAAC